AGTTTTAGAACTTATGAATTTTTTATGTTTATGAGAAAATATACCACACCAATATTTCGTATCGCATGTCCAAACAAAACTTCAATTTCATATCATGATATCATATCGCATGGCCAAACAGGCTCTTAGTGTGATTGTAGTCGCTTTAATATTTTCTTCTCATTTATTTTTATTTATTAGTTAATAAAATATATATTTTATTTTTGGCATAGTACATTAATGTACCTTTTAACTTGGCCACAAATTATATTTATACCTCAACTTTAGCTATGCACAAATAAACACTTAAACATGTATAAAATTGAACAAATAGATACACATGTCCTACATGGCATTCTACATTTCATTTTTGTCCAACATGGTACCTATGTATATTGTGTCACGTAAGACTCATGTGTTTACTTGTTTAATTTTACACAAGTTTAAGTGTCTACTTGTGCATACCAAAGCTAAATGACATAAATGTAGTAGAGGTGATGTTATCGGGTACATTTATGTATTGTGCCTTTATTTTTTATTGTATCTTTCATAGTTACTATCCTTTATACTTTTTTGTTTATATATATAGATTTATTATTTGAATTGTTGACATATGACATTACGTGACACTAAAAATGATACAAATTATTTAAATATTGTGTTCATTAAAACAATATACTATGATATAATATAATAAATATAATATAGTATAATATAATATGAAATCATACATAATTTATTTGAAGAAAGTGAAATAAAATAGTATTTTATATTGTTATCGTTATTTTATTGAATTAGAATTTTTATTTTATTTTACATAAAAGAATACATGATATATTTAGATTTACACGCATAATATTAAGATACTTTTATTACAATTTAATTCCTAACTAGTATTATGAAATACGAGTAGAGTTGCATTTATGAAGCAAGCTAATTGAATTGTAATGAATTTTCTAATTTAAGGCATTATATAAAACATATGTTTGAGTCATTTTTTCGTAACTTAACAAAACATCTTAATTTAAAAAATTATAATTCACCAAATCTAAACCACATTATATATTTATAATCCATCGTAACTATATTTATATTGCATTTAATTAATATAATCAAAATCACTAGCTACTTCAAACAGAATTATCTTTATATTTCATCAAATTATCAAACGTTATTAGTTTTTATCAACCATGAATAGGTAATTTTTTCCCTTTAATTAAGAACAATTATAGACAAATAATTTGCCTTGCATTTTAATAATTATTTTGTTAGTCGAAAATAATGCCATTAAATTTTATGTTTTTGTGCTTTAATTTTATTTTCTGGATAAAGCTACGTAAGTAGAGTTATACCATTACATCCTTCTAATTTTCTCATGTTATCACATAATGATTATTGCCCTTTGTTGCCGTTAGTGTTAAAAATTATTACATGAAGTATATTTAGAATATATTAAATAAAATATTCTTATTATACGATGGTTTTGTTTTAGTTTAATTATTTATATTTGAGTATTACTTATTTCTGTTTTTTTATTCTCTCTCTATATAAAAAAATATATACACAAATATTTTTAATGAATAATGGGGATCTACATTTTCAGGATTGGACTGCTCATTTACAAGGAATTTAATTCCATGTGATAGTGATAATTTACTTTTCAAATTATTAGCTCAGCTTAAATTAATCTTAATTTAGTATTTACTACAATCATAAATGTTAACTGAAAACAAAAGTTACAAAGATGGATTTCATAAAAAAAAAATTAAAGACATAATGCAATAGTAAAAGGCGTGAGAAAATGTAGGTGAAATATTATTTATAAGAAAATAAAGTTTATTTATTTATTTAATAATATGCCACCTCTTTTGTTTCGATTATTTTTTTTTTATGTATATTAACTGCCCCTCCGTAAGTTTTGAAACTGCAAATCATTAAAAAAAGAGTGTTTCTTCCCCTATTTTTAATACCTTTTAAATTCTTAATTTTTGTCCTATTTTAATACCTTTTAAATTCTTAATTTTTGTCCTATTTTAATACCTTTTAAATTTTATTTTATCCCGACGTTTTTTATGGGATAAACTCAATAATTTTAAATGTTAATACCCAAATTGATTTTGCTGGCAAGATGAGATTTTATGAGATGCATTAATAAACGCATGATATATGTTTGAACTTAAGTTATTTTGCTTTAAATTTGTATAATTTTACGTAATCAAGTGTAAATTATTTTTCACCGTTCAAAAAGAAAAAAATATTATGTAATCGGTAAAACAAAGAAGAAGATGTAAAAATGAAGCTACAGCTAATTACAACTGCACTGCTCTTAATTAGTTGCTTTAAGTGTTAATTTTTTCTTTTATTTTTAACTTCCCTGTTAAATATTGGAGAAACAAATATTTATGTGATGTATTGTAAAGACCGCCATGTTTTTACATTAAGCTATACATGACATGTTATATATGTGTGTGTTATAACCTTATTAAATTATTTATAAATACCTAATGCCCTCAATTGAGTAGGTGTAATTGGATAATATTTTATTAAAGTTTAATTTTTTATTTGACTTTTATTGTTAAAAATTAATTTGGTGAGGGAACATCATTAATATTTTACTTAAAATAGGCATCAAACAATTTTTATTTTATTTTAAAAAGTATTGTATTATAGACATCATTTTTAATTATTTTTTTTGTTTATGTTGACACAACATTACATAATTTCCTCAATTGAATAAGTGTAATTAGACAATATTTTATTAAAGTTTTATTTTTTATATGACTTTTATTGAATTAATTTTGTGAGTGAACATCACTAGTGATCTGCTTAAAATACGCATAAAACAATTTTTATTTTATTTTTTAAAAATATTGTATTAAAAACACTATTTTCAACTCTTTTTTATTTTTTTATTTTGACACAACATTACATAATTTATTTGTTTTTTTCCTTCTTATTTTGATTTATTGTAACAAAAGCTCCTTTACTTTGGCGCCAAGACTTCTTAGTTCCCACTTTTCCCACAGAGTTCTTATTAGCAAAAATTTAGGTATGTGGTTATAACTTATAATTAATTAAGAATTTTGTACTACAAACAGCAAAACAAATAAAAATACACATACTTATATATTCCATAAACCCATTTTCAGTTTTTTGTTGGATAATATTTTGTTTTTCTTCCTTTTTTGGTTCATTGCAACAAAAACTATTTTGATAGAGATTAGTCAACCTTAAAGAAACAAACTACTATTTTTCTTGATGAAGTTTTTGCATAGATCGCCTTATTTGGACTAATTTTAATTTTTACTTTGTTGGCAAATAAATTTTGCGTATATAGATTAGATTATCTATATTTATGATCTAACTCAAAGTAAGTTTAGAAACACAAAGGTTATTTTAATATAATATGTGAAAGAATAAAGTTATTCGACACAAGTTATATAGTATACTTCACTCCACATAAATTTTATAAAAATATTATGATACAAAAAGGTAACCTTATGCCGTCATTTTAATATTAGGATATTTTTCTCTACATATTTTTTACTTAAATATCGCCGGACTAAAATTAAAGACCATCAAATTTAAAGGTAGAAATCAAAAATTGGTCTAGACGTTAAACTAATAACCCGTTATTCTTCATTGTTTATTGCTTTGGGAGCTGATTTTAATGTCCTTATTTTTCGGACTTAATCAACTTTTTTCCCCCAAAGTTTAATCATAGATTTTATGATATAAAAATACTAAGCAAATGCACGTACAAGATTTTGCATACAAATTAAGCTTGAGAACGTAACTTAGCTCATATAGCTAGTCAAGACGTCTATAGAAATTTGTAAAAAAAATAGAATTTATTTTTCACAATAAATCATTTGATGTAAAAGTTTAATCAGGTTTCCCCCTTGTCATAGTTGGATTAAATGACAAAATTCATTATTTCTAATAAGAGTATTAAACAAAAAGATCAACATGGATCGTGGTTCACTAGTGGGAGTGCTTCACTTTTAACTAAAAGTCTCGATTCGAGCCTTGAGTATGAAGAAAATTCTGTTGGGAGCGTCATCCCCAAATAAACACTGCAATGCACGATCCAAATTTAATCGGAGCTTCAATATGAGCTCCAAGTGAGAACCATAAAAAAAAACTATCTATAAAAAGTTATAATATTTGTGGGAGTGTGGAGCCTTATTTCTATAGTTTTACGTTGCTAAAAAGGTTTCGAAACAACAAGAAAATTCGTATGGAGATATTTTTAAAAGATTATTAGATAAGATCATTGGATAAATAACTTAAAAAGGAAAAAAGTGAGAGCATTTGTCTCTTCTTGTAAAAAGAAAAGTAATTAAAGTTTATTAGGTAATTAATATTCAAAAATAGATTTAGCATTGCAAATCTGCAATTCTTGTTTTTTTATTTCTTGCTCGAGACAACTATTCTTATTGTCCTCGAAAAATTTGTCATTGTACATCTTTAAATTAAAGAGCTACTTATTTTTTATTTTCTTTTATGTTGCATTTTAGAGAGCAAATTTATTTTTCTTTTTTATTTTTTAACTTTTCCACGTTAAACAACAAGATGATACTTTTGAAATGAAAACAATTTGCATATTATAGTCATAATAGTTTTTTGGTACAACAATTTTATTTTATTTTTTATATAAACTTCTATCATTTTCAATTACAGTAATGAGTTCTAACTTAAAAGTTACCTCATTTAATCAGATAGTAATAGGAATAAATACTTACTTTGTATCACAACACTAAATTGGATCATTTTTTGTCATAAAACAGTATAGGAAATTAAGTAAAAAAAAAGAAAAGAAGGGAAAGTAAAAAAACGGTTAGATAATAACTCTCCCCATTATCCTCCATAACTCTTCTAAAAGTAACTGCCAATCGCCCCCACCCCCACCCCCAAAGTCCACCTACCCCTCCGCCGTTAATCCTATTAATTAACACTAATTACATAGTTTGTCAGCCCCAGAGAAAAACAAGACTTGTTTGTTAGGGGTCTACTTTTGTTCAAACAGTGAGGAAAAAAACAGCAAGACATATAATATCTGTCTCTCAATTAAGGTAATTAACCTTTAAACTAATTTTACTCTTTCTTACATTAACCTTTAAGCTACTATAATATATTTGTTACATAAAGCTCATTTTGTTATTTTCAGGGATCTATTCAAGAATGGCTAGTGTTAGCTACTACTCTGCTTCAAAATTGGAACCAAATGTTCAAGAATTCAACTCAGAAGAAATGATGACCATGCAGCAGCTTCTTTTTGATTTCAACTATGATGTTGAACAGAACTTTTCTGATGAAAATCAAGATTGCTATTTCGATCCAGACGAGTTTATTTTACCCATTGAAATGAATAACAGTTGTTGTTTCATGCCAGAGTACTCTGTTTTGGAGAAACAACCAAAGGACAATCATTCTTGTTTCATTCCAGAGTACTCTGTTTTTGAGAACATCCCAAAACGTCAAAAGATTTTTCAAGATGATTTCTTTCCAAATCCAAATAGTAATACGATAACCCCATCCACTCACAATTCTTGTTTCATGCCAGAATACTCTGTTTTTGAGAAACAACAAAAACTCTTTCAAGATAACTTCCATGAGGAGGGGTTTTTGCCAAATCCTCCAATGTTTGAGGATTTTGCGCTTCCAGAAATTCCTGTGCCTGTTTTTAGTGCTGGAGTTGTCGCGAAGAAAGGCGGTAGTAGTAATAACGAGAAGAAGATGTCAGCACAGAGTATGGCGGCGAGGCAGAGGAGGAAGAAGATTAGTGATAAAACACAAGAATTGGGCAAATTGATACCTGGTGGACACAGAATGAACACTGCTGAAATGCTTCAAGCTACTTACAAGTATATTAAATTGTTGCAAGCACAAGCTGGAATTCTTGCCTTCATCGGATCATATCAGGTAAATAAATTAAACAAACTCGTAATTTTATTCTAATACTATTTGGTATTAGTAACTTATTTGCATTTTGTACTTAATTTGCAGGAAAATGAGAAATCATTTGAAACATCATACTTGCAGAAACTTGTTGGATCTTCCTTAGTTCAAGAGAAGTTGTATTCAAGTGAAAGTTGCTTAATTCCAAAAGTGTTTCTTGAAGCACTAGAGAATGATCAAGAACTTCAAAATTCACAAGTCATTGAGGAAATCAAGTCTTTGATTAAATGAAGAAATTATTAATTTCAAAGAATTAGGGAATTTAGGATTAGTTCAGTTCAATTACCTGTTGTTTGTTGTCTTAGGTCTTAGGTTAGCTAGCCATGGTTTCATTTATTATTAAGGGTTTATTTTTCTTAGTTTAGCATTTTAATTATGTAAATTCATCATTTACAAGGGAGTTTAATTCCATGTGAAATTGATATTTACTTTTCAATTATTAACTCAGCTTGCATTAATCTTAATTTATATTGCCAATAAGTTTTATTTCTCTTCTCCTCCTACTCTTCCTCATTTCAGTACAATCATAAATCTTAAAGTGAAAACCATAATCACAAAATAATTAAAGATATAATGTCTTTGTTTCCATGAATTTATTTTTCTGTAATTAATTACCACTCTATAAGTTTAATTTTGTAACTGCACCTCTTAAAAAATTACATATTTTTTTCCTATTTTAATACCTTTTAAATTCTTAAAAGTTTTTATATACTATATGCATATTTATTAATTCAGTTTTGAAATATATAATATTTAAATGCTTTCGGAATTTAGCCAAAATACATTTTTTTTTACTAAGAAGACGAGAAGTATAATTAAGCTAGAGGAACTTCTCCAAATAAGAAAAAGAAAAACTTAATTTAAATCTTTTCCTTTGTCTTCTCCAAAAAGAATTTCTTATTAATTCAACCTTTTACTTGGTTGGTTCATGCAAATATTATATTTTATGCTATCATTTAACTTTTTGTCCATATTTTAAAGGGAAAGGCGTATATAATGACAAATTAAAAAATCAAATTAAATGTTATAATTATACTTTAATTTAATTGTGTTTGGTAGCAAATTGTTTTTCAGTCCCCTATTTTCCTTAAACTTTCGTTCGCCACTCTCCCTCTCTAGCTCCCTCCCTCTCGCTTTTAGACAAACACACATGTATAAAATGTGTTTGTGTTTGTATAAAACGAGAGAAAATTGTATATATATATACATATAATTTCGTTTCGCCCTCTCCTTTCTCCCAGATCTCGCTCGCCACCCTCGCCTCTCTCGTTTATACAAACAGAAACGAAATGTATAAATTGTGTTTCTTTCTATCTGTGTAAAGTGAGGAAAAATTGTATATACACACATAAATATATATATATATATCTTCGTCTTATACACTTATAATTATACAAATACAAATATTGTTCAATTTCTTTTGTCTTTCTCTTTTTATCGTTTTATACATACACAACTTACACAATTGATTTGTATATAACTGCTTTCTTTTGTCTATGTATGACAAATTATACAACTGGTTTCTTTGTATATTTATATCGAATTATACAACTATTTTTTCTATATATGTATAGCGAAATATACATATTTATATTTACGATGAAGCCCAACTATACAAAGTACAACTATAACATACAAATATAATTTTTATGTCAATGTTACTCTATTTTAAATAGTTATGCAAATGTAGCCATATTGTAAATAGCTATACAAATATACCATATTTCAATCCGACCCGGCCCATATCCACATCAACATAGGGCACTAAACTTTACAAAAACCCTAACACAGACAGAGTCGCCATTTCACCTGCCGTGGGCACAGAAAAGCTCTATCAACCCTATTCTCTTCTCACTTTTACAATATCAAGGTACACATACATGTTTTTTTGCTAATTGTTATCAGATTTCATTCACATTCTTCTGTTATTGCTTTTTCCTTTCAGTGTTGCTTCTCAATGCGATTTAGGTAGCTTTTATTTGCTGTTGTTTTCGTTTTATGTTGAAGATCTTTGTGTCTGTTCAGAAAATTATTGTTTGTTGTTAAGTATGATTCATTCGATTTCCTGATTACTTTATTCAAATCTATTAAAAGTGATGGTAGTAAAAGATTTCTGCTTTCTGAGTTTTTAAGCTAGTTTCTTAATCGGTTATGATTTATCATAGAAAACTTTGTTATAGGAGCACTCTTAGTAATGTGATATGAATAGCGAGATTAAAGGGTTGTAAGAAACATAGAAATGCTGCACCCAGGGTTGTCAATGAAATGGGTTGAATACCACGAGGTCTCAGTTCAAATACCACAAGAGATGAAATTATTAGATGATTTCTTGCCATCTATTCAGTGTTACCTTATACATGTTTCTTTGTTTCTTGGGGGAAGTTAAATAAACCCGGATACCATAGTTATAAAAATAATATATCGTGTTATTTGACATTGTTATATGACAGAGATGGGTGAGGTAGTTAAGGGAGCTGTTCCAGTTCCAGAGTCAGTATTGAAGAAGCAAAAAAGGAGCGAGGAATGGGCCCTTGCAAAGACACAAGAGCTTGTAGCTGCAAAGAAGAAAAGTGCTGAGAACCGGAAATTGATCTACAACAGAGCTAAGCAGTATGCTAAGGAGTACGACCAGCAGGTTGGTTAAGCTCAATCACCCTCAGATAATATTCTTGTTTTGAGTGCCAAATGTAGTAATTAGTTTTCAATTCCTGTTTTTAGGAAAAGGAGTTGATCCGTTTGAAGCGTGAGGCTAGATTGAAGGGTGGTTTCTATGTTGACCCTGAAGCTAAGCTGTTGTTTATCACTAGAATCCGTGGGTAAGAGCTTTTATCATGGTTGGTCTTTTAAGCTTTAAAATCACTGGTATTGTAATGGTACTCATCAAAATTATGTTTCTTAGGATTAACGCTATGCCTCCACAGACCAAAAAGATATTGCAGCTTCTACGGTTGAGACAGGTAACTAACTACTTGTTTGATGGTATTGCTAGAGAGAGCTGGAGGATCTTGTGTTACTACTCAGAACACTCTAGGTTGTTTTAAAGTAATCAGTTAATAAGCAGATCATATATTTTTCTCCAATACAAGCTATAATTTTATTTGTTATTTGCCCTTGTTTTGCTTGAAATATACCATAAAAATGTCTTTTAGGGTATTGTTTCATGGCTCATCTTTTTCAAAAATCTAGAGCAGAATCTTTATTTAACTAGACTTATACCATGAATGAGACTTTACTTGAAACAGTTTTTAGTCTTCACATAGATTTTATTGCTGAACTTGGTAGTGTTTGATCTGCAGCCAAACAATTGTGGGAGTCCTACGGATTCTTCGTTATTATATATCATCTCTTCTCTTTTGCGTAAAAAATGAATTTGCATTTTCTTATATCTTGATTTTGGTGTGCCGGATCCATTTAGATTTTATTTGATATGGTGAGGTTACTTTCCACTATTCTAATTAAGTGATTCTCTTACTCCCATGTTGATGGCAGATCTTTAATGGTGTCTTTTTGAAAGTCAACAAAGCCACTGTCAACATGCTTCACAGGGTTGAACCTTATGTTACCTATGGGTAGGTTATCACTTGAGAGTTATGCCATTACCTGGATCATTTTTGCTGTTTATCTGTTATTTATATACATTGGTTTTCCTCTTTCAGTTACCCTAACCTAAAAAGTATTAGAGAATTGATCTACAAGAGAGGTTATGGGAAAGTTGACAAGCAGAGAATTGCTTTGACTGACAACGCTGTCATTGAGCAGGTCAGTATCTGAAACAACGGCACATTGGTCTTTGAATTGAATGTTTCGCGTGGTTTGTTGACATGTCATTTTGATTATACCTGTTTCAGGTATTGGGTAAGTATGGAATTATCTGCATGGAAGACCTAGTCCATGAGATCATGACTGTTGGACCCCATTTCAAGCAGGCCAACAACTTCCTATGGCCGTTCCAACTCAAGGCACCTTTGGGTGGACTGAAGAAGAAAAGGAATCACTATGTTGAAGGAGGTGATGCTGGTAACCGTGAGAACTTTATCAATGAACTTATTAGGAGGATGAACTAAGAGAGTTGGAAATTTTGCTATATTAGGATTGAGAACTTTATCTCAACTTTTTCAGACCCTTTTGGGTTATTGAAGTGATAAACAGCTTCAGATTTTCTGCCTTCATTTTGAGATTGTTTAGAGTTATGACAGTATACGACAATGATGATGTTTTTTTCCGCAGGGAACATATCTAATGTCAAATTATTATCTTTATCCATATTTTGTATTTCTTGTGCTTTAGTGCCTTGAATGTGATCATTAAATTACTTTTCGAGTTTTCAAATGAGAGATGAAATGCTAAAGGATTTTTGAAAATGAGCAGTCAAGGCAAGAATGTGTTTTTTGCAATTGGTGTTATCGAACTGGAATCTCATTCCAAGTTCTAACTAAGGATTCTTGTGGTTACTAAAATGTGTTTGCTTTCCAAAATACAGCAGTCTTTTACTGTGCTATATATTTTTAAATTAATTGAGCAGATCGGGAGGGTTAGTGACTGGTGAAATGAGTTAAATTCTTGTATTGTAGTTGATAGGGGAAATCAATTTAACATTAATACTGGTGTTTCTACCTTGGTGTTTGTTTGGAATAGGCAACTTATTATTAATTTAGTCAGCCTTCGTCACAAAATACTTTTTTCATTTATTTGCCCGTAAAAAAACATTAATTATGAGTGGTGTTTTGATTATTTTATCCTTACTTATATTATCATTGATTGAGCTGTTTGTTGTCCTCGAACAATTACTATTAAGGGTAAAATGCAAAAAAATAAAATATTAAGTGTGCCAAAGTTTTAAAATGACAAGTCAGGCATTTTCTTAAAATGTTGCTTAATAAAACAATGTTAAATCCCCCTTTTAGATAGACTTGAATCTCTAATGGTATCCACCAGTTTAAAATAAATTAAGATCTTAGATAATAAAGATTTCAAAATAACAAAAAGAACAAGGTTACATATTAGACAACAATCTTAAATCTAAAGAGACCATTCAAAACTTTGAACCATATTTCCAATCAGAGTTTCAAACATCTTCATTAAATCGGGAGTAGGAGAAAGTCAACCAACTGAGCTACTAAAATTCGTCATTTTCAAAGAAACATATGAAAAAAAGAAAAAATCTTCATTCTTCTCCAGCAACTTCATGCTTTCTTCTGGCAATCCCATCCATACTTCACTTCCCTTTCCATCAGCACTATCGATAAAATGAAATCCACATGGACATTAGGATTAGCTAGCTATTCAAATAGGCTTAAAATCACCTTCATAAAAACCAGCAATTCCCACTTCATTTCCTCTACTTGTCTATGTACTCATGAATCCTCCTTATATATCCATCTTCCAACTTCCTTACTGATTCTCGAACTTTTTCCACCAACTTTTTGTAATCCATTTCCCATTTGGCAATTGTTGGATAAATTAGATTATCAATGCAATTTGTGGGGAAATTTGGATGCCATTAGTATGTAACTTATTTTGTCCTTCCATGTTGCTATACTTGATGACCATAGGAAGACTGATAGAGCCTCAACAGGGCAATTCTGTATTAATGACCATATGGAGTCATTGTTGACATAGGATTATAACCAAGATATCTTGGTGAAAAAATCCTAGTAACGCCAATGCCACTAGTTTCTTGATTCACTTTGGCCCATGTTTTGACAAAAATACGATGCCAAACACACACTAAATGGAAATTCCTCCACAAGGGAACTTAATGGAACTCCTAACAAAACTTGTTCACTTGATCTATACATCAATCACGATGTTGGTATGGAAGGAATTTAAAAAGATCTTCAATTTTGGGGTCATTAACGATGTTGGACAAGGTAATGTTACTAACATTTGCTTCAAGAAAATCGACCTTGCATTCGATTGTGTATACATCGTTTAATCTACCAGCTAAAGGGTACATGCAAGTGTTGCTCTTAATGAAGTAGAATAATTTGATCCTCGTAACTTCCATTATCTATATAAAAAGGTACTTCTCAGTTGTGAATTGGGGTCTCCCATAGAAACCACCAGCACATTAATTGGAAAATCTGCAGCTCATTTTTTACCCCATATGGAAACGTTGCCCAGATAATTTGGTATGGCACAAGTAGTTGATCCATCTTTACTGGGAAAGTAAAGGTTTCTATCACAAATGAATATTGTAAAGGCAGACAATTACAACAAAAGAGACGGATAAGAAACAGGACCAAACTCTCAAACTGTGCATACTCAAGTGTATCGAAGAAAGTTTCAGGACATGTGAAGTTACTCCTGGCGCCAACTCTTCTTGCAACACAGGATATCCAAGAAAACAACATCAAACATTCCCTTGGCAGATATCACCTCGACATAATGGGCATACCCTACATGAAATGAACAATTTCAACTCCAGTTTCATTTAGCAGAAGATATTTTTCGCTAAAACCAAATAGATAATTATTACAAGACAAGATTGTAATCACTCTTGTTGCTTTCAGAGACTTATTTAAAAAATAGTGACCACCTAAGTTGCGCAAACTCTTCACTTCGATGCCGCACCCGTGTCTGATTCTCCAATAATACACTACTTTGGGAGAATCCAACAACACGCACCCGTTGACATTTCTGAAGAGTCCGAGCAACATAGGTGACCACACATTTGCAGGGTACAAATATCATGTCGCTGCACTTCAGGAACTACATCCTGTCCAAGTGTATATTTTTGTGGGGTAAGCGATCTTCATGGGCTACTCTAATTTCTTTCCTGGTAAGATGATCAACTTTTTATTTATGATCCTCAATGAAGCCTTCTTCAGCTTTTGAATAACATTTATGAGGCACAAAAAGTCATTATCATTGAACGCAAGATTTGTCTGAATATTACCATGTTTCTTTGTTAGATCTAGCTTGATAAAACATCCAGAGGCACAAAAAGTACGTGGTTGATGACCTTCCAGACATTATCTTTACCCTTTTTAAAAGAATAATTTTGAGAACCCTTATACTTCTCTTGTTTATTTCTATCACTGTGATGGTAATAATTCTCCTCCTTGCCACATCTATAGCCACGAGCACAATAATTATTTCATCTCTTCTCACAATTATCATGTACAACTACATTCACTTAAGAGTATGATTGGGATTAGTTATGATGGAATAAGTTATGCTAAGATAATATTAGTTCTTAAGAACAACATATATGTTTACATAAAAACCCTTCATGAATGTGAAAAGCAATGTATAAGAAGTGTCAAATGAATATTTTTGGCATTTAGTCATTTTATCCCCGGATTACTATACCACCCAAGGAAAGGGATAACTTATCCGGTACTAATTATTAATCCCGGGATAAGTTATCCTGGACTTGCCAACCAAAAAAACAAATTAAGTGACACTATAATTTAATCCCAAGACTATTTGAAGTTATCCTTCACACCAAATGACCCCTCAGAGTATTTCTTAAAACCTTTTTTATGATATTGCTATTGTAGCTGCACATGTGAAACATGAAAAGTAAAAAAGGTTTTCTCACAATTTCTACTGCATGTCTTAGAGATTCTACCAGTTAGTAGGTGTGTACAATCAATAATATCCACCCCTCTTAGGAGTCCGGAGCCAAAAGGGAAAAAAATATTGGCCCGAAATTCCAAAAGGGCAAACAAATCATGGAAGAAACCAAAGGACTAAAGGTGTAGGGGCCTATGCACATGTGACGTTAATGACGTTAACCGACAAAAGGAAGGCACACTTTTGGTTTTTATTTTTTCCTCTGATCTTGAATCTTTGTAGTGTTGATATGATTCAACAGTGCAAAGGCACAGGTGTCAGTGCACCTTTCTTTTGTCAATTAACACTGTTAACGGTGTAAGGAGTAAGGCACATGGGTCCCTTGCGCCTTGACCATTTAGTTTCTTCCTTGATTTGTTTGCGCTTTTGAAATTTTGCGCCAATATCTTTCTCAAAATTTCTCTCCAACTATTGACGACTTGTACAAAAATAACACTAAGACCATAGAAGAGTAGCTTTCTAAGAACAAACCTTGAGGATGTTTGTAATAAAATCTAATTACGTCTTTTTCCAGATAACGGTGGTCTCTGAGCTAGTTTAAGTGCACCTTGACTAGTCCACTGAGATAAGAAAAAATCATCCAGTGCTTTTATGTAGGTTGGAATATGAATCCTGGTCACCCACTTCATGGACCAGTAAACTACACCCATACTTCTGCTTATGAGTATGGTAGCAAAGGTGACAGGAAGATTGAGGCAGAAGGGTACTAACCAGGGAAACACCCTAAACTGGTTAAGAAACAAGTCCAAAACAGATTCCATCTCATCAAATCATATTTCAAGTACATTTCTGCTCATCTCTTTGCCAAGTAGCACGATAAGAGGAAAGGCTAGATTGAAGTTTGTAACTTCAGTCTTCAGAAAATTGGATGATGATACAAATAGCTGAGGAGCCTCTGAATTCTGAAATTGACTGAAAGATACCAGCACAAAGCAAAAGGGGAAAAAGTATACCTGTGAATTTCTTTGAGCCATTTGTCAACACAAGTCCTGTGAAATTCATGATGGCAAGGCAGTGTTCGTAACATATCTCCTTCCTCGTACTCAACCAGACAAATGTAACATCTGTCAAAATAAAGCCAAATAGTTCACATGAATAAAATAAGATTATAATATTCAAGCTAACAAGACCACATAACAAATTAAACTTTTTGACTAAGAATGAAAGAAAGAAAAGGAAAGTTCAAATATTTTGCATATAGAATTAGATAATAAACAAAATCTGAAAGAGTTTTAACATAAAGCACCCAACCATGTTATAGTTATTTCCAGACAACCAGTAATGATTAGTTAACTTACTCCAGGGTGGCATAACCAAATAGATTATTTCTAGGTCTAAATCCTATGCTAGCAGCAGATTGAGCATGAAAAAAGACCACTACTTTCACCTACAACTCTTTAAAACTTCTATCCGGAATAGGATAATTAATGGAAGTACAAGTGACATCAAAATACTAGTAAAAAAGACCCTTAAGATTATTGGTACTTCGTGCCAAATGCTTTGAAGTTGAGAGGTTTCCCAGTATCTTTATCATAGCATTCTCACCGTGTTTGTATTGGTATCATCAAATATACAAGGACACATCTTTCTACTAGGGTTAGAGATATGTTATATCACTTGTATAATTTGGAACAGTACGCCAAAGCACTGTTCTTGCAGGTTTACGAGCTTGCATTTCAGATAAAGCAAACTCTCCATGT